AGGGTCCCATCACTCTTCTCTCCAGCATCCCCAGGACCAGTTCTTAAGTGAACTAAAACTCTCGTCTCCACATGATACTCCTAACATAATTGGTAAAATGCAACTTGACCCTGTTATGTTCTGGGGCCAACTTCATTTCCATTTTCAAAATATCGAATGAATATTTAAAGAATATCTGTTTGCAAAGGTGCCTAATTATTAGCCAGCCCATGACTCTTGCTTGATTTCTCTCCTTTATACTAACTTATATTTGACCTTTATATCACCATCAGCAATGCACCCATTTACTTTTTATGAATTCCCTGGTGTATTCTCTAAATTGTTCCCTGTCTTTTCCAAGCCCCAATATCTTCTTCTCAAGATCCTTTGATTTGTTTTCTAATATAACAGGGAAATGTGAAGGTAACTGACTTGGGCTAACTCAGCCTCCCATGCTACCCTTAAAACTTCCTCCAATGACAGAGAGAAGGCACGTCTCTCACCTTCAACACCAGCCCTGCTGCCAGAGCTTCAGACCTCAGCCTCTCAACTCTCAGGGAAATTCCCAGGATCCCATCCTTCCTCTTGCCAGCACCTTCAGGCTTTTGCTCATGACTGGGCAATTTTGTCTTCATATGTATGTAGCTTCACCCTATTATCTTTTTTGAAATCTCTACCTCAAGTCTTCTGCACCTGTCTCACTCTCTCTTACCCTTATCTGTCATATTCTTCATGCTCCTGTGCTGCCCCTACTCTTTGTACCCTTTTCTTCAATAATTCCTTGCAATTTGATTTCTGACAACCTCTTCTATGAAAAATGTTCAGTGCAAGGGGTCAACTGATCTTCTTCCAACGACATTCTGGAGCATTTCCCCACTTCACTTTCCAACACATTTTTGCTTCATTGAACAGAGTTTATGGGTTCATAAAATGCTTGTTCGTAGGGTGTCCATGTAACAACAGCATTCTAACCTCCCTTCCTTGACTATGTTAATCCACTAATCTTGTATTTAGAGAAGGTCAAACTGAGTAATTACATTATATATACACTAAGAATGTTCATCTATCCACTCTTTTACCCTCACTACAAACAAGACTCAGGAAATCCACATCCTTTACTTTCTCAAAACTACACATTCCCAGACCTTCCAATTCTGGTCCTCAAGTTATTCAATCAGTACAATTCCTGATCAGTCTCCAATTAATTATCAAATCCAGTATTCACTTACTTGTTCTCAGATTCCCCACCACAGTCATTCCCATTTCTAGGCCTTCATTCATGTAGCATAGCCCATATAAAATTCCTTTCTCTCGTGCCAATCTAAATCCAATGATCCAATGTACACATCCTTCAAGGTCAGCTGGCATCTAACTTGTGCATTAGGTCTTTGCCAAGCACTGCAGTACATTGAGGCCTTTGTCTAAAACTATATTAGACTTGCTATCTCCTTGAAACAATGGTACTTCCTAATAGTCTCCAGTTATCTCAGATACATGGCCCTTGTCTCGTCAGCTATGCCTCTGAAAGCATGAACATAAGTTTTTATTCCCTGACAGGTTCACGGTGTACTCAGCATTCCAAAGTTATGTAATAGTTTGTTTAATGCTGTAATACTAAACAGATATTATTTAAATAAGTAATAATAGGAATAGCATGGTACTGATACTCCCACTTAGACTGAAACTAGGCTTTTTACTGGACTACTTAGAAGGCCACATAAGGCAGTATGACACAGTGGTTTAGTATAAGCTCTGAAGCCAAACTTCCTGGATTCGAATCCTGGTTTTATGTCACCTTGAGAATGTTAACATCTTTATGTCTTAGTGTCTCTCCTTGAAAATAGGGGAAAATATCAGTACTCACCTCATGGTGTTATTATGAAGATCAAATGAGATATGTTAGATTCTGAAAACAATTTCTAGCATGACCCTTAAAGCTCAGCAATTACTAAACATTCATTACACATAGAATGATAGCAACTCAGAGCTAACAGAATCTTTACTTTGTAAGTGAATGAATGAGCTGAGGAATCAAAGTAGATGGCTGGCTCAAGATACATGGCTAATTGGAGTCCATGTTAAGAACCCATCTCTCTTGACTTCTATTCAGTGTTGGCTTTGCCCTTAAGGATTCTTTGTCTGAAGATAGAATTGAATTATAGAATCTTAGAGTTGAAATGAACACTCAAGAATCCCCAGTTTAATTTTCTCATAGGGGACCACACCGCAAGATCACTTGCCACAAACTTTTCATCTTTACCAACAGCACCATCTCAGATTCTTAATAACCCAGACAAAAAGATGCTAACAAAACTTATACCACGGCCCCCAATTTTCATTAAGAAACATAGGCAGGACAGGAATGGATGTCAAGATCAGATTCCCTGAATTCAGATGATCATCACTAGATGAAGCAATTTTTAAACGTTCATCTTTTGAAAAATAAGACTTCTTTTTCAGGGAAAACATTGTCTGGAATAGTCATTATAAAGTTGTGATTCAGGCCATCCCACACATACATGAATGTTTTGCAGATAGTATTCTTCCTGGTAGGAACCTGAAATTAAGATTTTGATGAACTCTGAACAATACTCTATCAGCCAGGAAAAAGCACAGGGTCCAACTACCCATACCAGGAATACTTTCTGAAGGTTCCAGATTTTTGTTTGATTCTCTGGAACTGTACTCAGCCTGGTTGTGCAATCAGTTATACCAGTGTTTTTTAATTCAATCTAGCAAATACAGACTCTCAAGTGGAATTGCAGCAATAAAAGATTGCTGTTAGCTAGACACAAATAAACTTGTGTGTAAGGATTCTTTCATCAGATGCAATGGTATGCTATCTTCTGTTTCAATTCAACACTAGGGAAGAGGTTTAAGTTATCTTTAATGCAGATGAAATCATCATTTGTAACAGCAGCAGTAAGGAAGAAGGCCAAACTGAGCATTACATTATGAGTCCACTAAGATTGTTAATCTATCTACTCCACTACAAACAAAACTCAGGAAATCCACAGTATTTGTGTGTGATTATTTTAAATGCCTGATTGTAGTATATAGACTCAGCTTTATGGCTTGGGATTTTTTTTTTTTTTTGACCTTGCCTTTGTCAAGCTATAGCTTGGCATTTTAATCCTCAAAATAGGGGAGGTTCCATTACTTGAATCTGGAAGTTGAATCACCTTCTTTATATCAAAGTTTCCACTGATCCCAGGGACACACCGTGCCTCCTTTGTGTTTCTGCAGCATTTTATTTACATCTCTAGCCTTACTGATGTCAATCTGACTTATTACACCCAGCTGTATTTATTTCTCCTCTGCAGACAGTAAACTCTTGAGTAGAATTCATGTTTTATGTGTCTGTATTCTCTCACAGTCTCACAGTGTCTTGAACATAGGAGCTGCTCAAGAAATGTTCTGAGATTTAGTTTTAACAGTACATATGCAAAGCATTTCACTGTTATAAAGTATTATTAACGGACCTGCATCTTTGACATATCTTTTTCATTTCCGAGAACTTTTGTTTTTGAAACACGAATAAAAGACTTCAGCAGATCAGCACTGTAATCTAGATGGCTATGTAAACAATAAAGCAGTGCCTAGTAAATATTTGTTGAATAGTCATTTTACGAAAATTTGCAGTGGTTTCTTATGAGTTTTGGTTGTTTAAGGGAACCCAACCATCTCAGTGAGACATAGGAAAGAACATAGAAATGTAAGGGGGAGGGCATCCAGAAAGATAACTATGTCTTCCAGAAAAAAGACCTATCACCCAAGTTCTGACTCTGGAACCCAGCAGTTACCTGGATCATGACATTTCCAAGACCAATGCTTCTTCTTTAACAGTTTTTCTACAAAACTATCAGGTTTAATGTTCAAGCAACATTAAGTCCATGCCCATTAGGCCCACAGACATAACTGGCAACATGATTTCAGGACCTAGCCCAAAATAAAAATGCAGGACCCCGTGTTCAAAAGTTGTTAAGAATTTCAAGACTGCAACAACGGAGCATTAGCTGAATAAAGAGCACTTCTAAGCCCAGAACTTTGTGTTGCTGCATAGGACCCACACCCAGGAAGGTAACCCTCTTCTGTTTTCTTTTTGTTTTCTTTTGAGTTGGAGTCTCACTCTGTCGCCCAGACTGGAGTGCAGTGGCCACTCCCGGCCACCACAGCCTTGACCTGCTGGGTTCCGGCGATCCTTCCGCCTCAGCCTTCCAAGTAGCTGGAACTACAGACGTGCGCTACCACGCCAGGCTAATTTTTTGATTTATTGTAGAGATGAGGTCTCACCAAGTTGCCCAGGCGAGTCTCGAACCCGCGGGCTCAGGCAATCCACTCACCTCAGCCTCCCAAAGCCGCGTGATTACAGGCTGAGCCACCGAACCCGGCTCCTCTTCTGTTTTCAAGGAACTTTGGATACAGCAAAAAGCAAAAGGGTTACAGCTACAGTTCAAGCGTGTACAAGGGGGTCCGGAACCCAGAGGCTCCCAACTTTGTAAAGCATCCCAGGGAAGGCGACAGTGACAGTTAAACTCACTTTTGAGAGAGGAATTGAATAGTGAAGAGAGATATACCAGATTGAAGGTGCAGCCCTGAGGGTGGGCAGATTTCACCTGACCAATTTCAGGAACAGGGCAACAACTGAGATTAAGACCAGAAAGGCAGGCTCGGGTCTGGCCGAGTGGATGGGAGAAGGGGCGGCACAATTGCTGAGTGACAAGTGCGTGCCAAGTCTTTCCCTCGATGTCATTTTAAACACGCAGCACAATCTTGCAAATAAACCTCATTTTACAAACAGGTTAACGTAGGCCCAGCATCGCATGTTCAACGGGCCTGGAACACAGCAGGTATTTCAAGAGTTCCTGGCGAGCCCGATTTAAGGCTCAGGACTTTTAACCCATAGACCAACAGGCTCCCAAAAGAGCTTCTAAGCCCCTACGGGTCCTCTCGCCCCTCTCTCGGCAGCCCAGCCGCCGCGTTCCACGTGCCGGAAATTCCGGCAAAGTACTTCCGGGATGGTAAAGGTCGGCCCCACAAGATGGCGGCCCCCTTGGAGCTGAGTTGTTGGGGCGGCGGCTGGGGGCTCCCATCCGTGCATAGCGAATCCCTGGTAGTGATGGTGAGGCCTCGCGGGCCGGGGCAGGGGAGAGGGACAGGCCG